GGCTACGTGGCTGTGCGTGAGGTTGCCGCCGCCTGTGGGCGTGTCTTCCGAGTGGCCGCCTCCCACCTGCAGGCAAGGGGAGACGGCTGGTCAGTCGGCCGGCCCACCTTGCCCCCCCACCCCCGTCCCCCTCAGCCCGCCCTCGGACGGCACTCACCAGGCTGGCGTGTCGCCCACCCAGGGGCAAGACGGGGCCGGGGAAGCCGGAGGCCAGGGCCCCATGGCCAGGCAGCAGCCCGTGACCATCAGCTGCCGTGCCCACCGCGTGACTGCGCAGCACGTGGATGGCCTCGTCCAGGCGGTCCTCTACCTTGTTCTGGAAGGGGGTGTTGGGGAGCTGGTGAAGGGCCGACTCGGGGACCCTGCACGGTTCTACTCCGCCGGCCGGGAGGCCACAAGCACGGTCCGCCAGCTTTGTCCCTCCCGCCCCACGAATCCACCATCACCGGGGCGTCTGTCCTATAAATTCCGCTGGTCACGGGAGACCGAACGGCCCTCCCGGGACGTGGTTTCAAAGTCACAGAAGCCGGTCACAGCAGACACGCTGAGCCGCCCTCACCGCCGACCCCTCTATTCCAGGAACAGGTATCCCTACCGATGTCACACCTACGAGGACCATGCCCCCCCCCCCCCCCCCCCCCCCCCCCCCCGCCCGGGGCGCCCCCGCGCCACCCCCGGCCGGCCCCCCCCCCCCCCCCCCCCCCCCCCCCCAGGGAAGGCTGGGGCAGGAGGCTCACCAGGCTGTGACGACCCCCATCGTAGCTGGGCGATAAGGCACCGGGGGCTCCCGTTCGGGTCCACTGAGACGTCCCTGGAAGGGGCGGGTGGTGCGTCAACGGAGGCACCCGTGGCTGGGTGTGTAACCAGCCGGATGGGAGCCGGAGAGAGCGGGTGGGGAGGCGGCCAAGGGGACGGTCACGCCCGGGCCGGCCCCCCGGGGACCCTGATGCCCGCAAGGCCGGTCTAAGGGCCAAGTTGGGAATTTAGCTCCGGCGGGGAGGCCAGGCGGGGCTCCCGGGAACCCACCATCTCCGAGACCCACACCCCGCCTCCCACGAGGAAGGCAGCCCGAGGGCACACGTGGCAGGAGTCTCAGAAGCCAGAGCAGGGCAGTGGTTGACCCCAGGCCCCTGCACGGGCCGAGGTGAGGCGAGGGCCCCTGGGGCTCCCTGCCGCACAGGTGAGGGCCTGCGGGGTTTCTGACAAAACCACCCGGCCTCCCCGGAACTTCACAACGAGCTGATGCCCGGGTAGGTCTTCCTGGGAACAGGAGGACCCATCCCCCCCTCGGCAGGGTCAAGCAGAGGGTCGCGCGACCGACGCCTAACTATCGTCCAGGAGGTGGACGAACACCGACACGTGCGTGACCCAGAGTCCGGCTGCGGGTCTCCGCCTGCCACTCTGGTGGGTGGACCCCGTGCCCTGGCCCTGCGAGATCCCATCTGCCCCTCACGGCTCACACAGCGCGGACTGGCTCAGAGATCACCTCTCTGTCCCAGAGAGACAGCCTCTCTGGGATGCCCACGGGAACACGAGCTCCGGGGCAGGTGGCCCAGCCAGGGCCGGGGTACCGGATGTAGCCCCTCTCCCCTCCCCAGCACCGCACACAGACCTGCCAGGCCCTGAGGGGAGCCCACGGGGGTCGAGGGGCTGGAGGAGAAGTTATTGCTCGAGTGATCCGGGGAGTAGATCTGCGACAGGGAGGAGAGATAGGGCCACCCGCCGCGTGGTCAGGGGCAGGCTCGGGCTCCCGGCTCGCCGGCCCCGCCTCGCCCGCCACCCCGTCCCACGCCTCACCGAGGCCAATGCCTTCCCGAGGGCGTCCCCAGAGCTGCCGGCCGACGTCCCGCGGGAGCCTGGGGGTGGAGAGGCGAAGCCCCACGTCAGGGACGTGGCGGCCCCGGCACCCAGCCGGCCCCACGCCCGGCTGACGGGGAGCCCCCGTGCGCTTGGTCCTTCCGTGCCTGACACAGGCGCCCCTCGCCCGGCACCGGGCAGCCCGGCCTGGGTCTGGGTTCTGGCCTGGCGGCCCGCCACCCGCCTCCACGGAGACTCTGACGCAAAGCAAAGCGGGACCCGCCCTTCCAGAAGCCGTTGCGGCCCACAACGCGGACACAGAGGGCGGGACTGGGAGAGGGAGGTGGCAGGACGAGGCCGTACCCAGGAGGCCGTCGGCCCCGCTGACGGGGGGCGTGTGGCTGGGGGCGCTGCCGTAGGCGGCCGCGGGGGCCAAGGAGAAGGTGGGCACCGCTGGCAGCCGTCCGTTCACCTCCGCTCCGTGCAGCTGGTAGCCCTGGGGGCAGGTCAGGCGGGGTCAGGCGGGGCGCCCCCTCCCCCCCAGCCCCCCACCACCCAGGCCGTACTCACCATGCGCTCGTGTGGCTGCAGGCTGCCAAAGCCCCCGCCCAGCACGGGCCCAAAGCCCGCCTGGCCTGGGGGATTCCAGAGCTCGGCCGCAGGCTGCAGGCTGCCATCTGCGGGGGGGGGGGGGGGGGG